TTTTTTTTTTTGCGAAATCTTCCACTTGCACCTCATTGGTAAATAATTTTTCATACAGTTTTTTCTTGAAAAATTTTCATTTTTTACTGCTGGTTTACTTTGATTTTTTGTTGTTGATTAAACTGCAAATGAACTGTATTTGATGAGCTGTTGAACTGATGAACTGTTTTACTCTATATTATTTATTTCTTTTTTCTTTTTTTTTTTTGCTGCTTTTATGGTTAGTGAAGAGCCCTCTGTAGAGAGTGTAATCTTGTTTTGAAAAACCATTCATTATTAGTTACAAAGTCGGAGGTGATTGGAAGCAACAACTTTGATTTTAAAACATTTTTATTCAATATTTTATTTTTTTGCAGAAAATACCACCTGTTACGAAAAGCAAAGTAAAACATGACAAAATTTGTATTTGTTTCAAACCCACTTATATTTCTTTATTGATTCCTCGTTTATTGCAAAATACCATAGCGTCAAAATATATCCATGAATATAGCTTATTGTCATCGATAATTGGTTAGCATGAAATAAAAGAGTAAATAAATAACTGGTTAGTATTCAAGTTGGTTAAGTATTGCTTATTTGCTTCAAATTTTCTCATATAGTATTTCGTAAAATTGCCATTTCAAGAAACAGAGGAAATTTGATGAATTTGGAAACAGCCAGTTGTGGAGTTTGTCAACAATTAACACAACTTGGGAGAAAAAAGCTTTAAAAGAGATACGGAGGTATTACAATTTGCTGAAATTAAGCCGTACCCTTTTACTTCTCAATAACAACAACCGACAAGCATATGAACTTTTTTCTACTAATCTGTCGAACACCGAAAAGCATAATATGCTTTCTGTTATTACTGTTGCCATTCAGTCAGTGAACGGCGATATTGTATAAATCCTACGATATTTTCATATGAGTAATATTTGTTTTAGACTAGCAAAAAAGGAGATTTACGGAAATCAAAGGACTATATTGGAAGCAAAAATGAACTAACCTATAAATGTGTGTAAGTTTTAGAGCCATACAATCATTGCCGATAAGTAGAATAAGGTACACCTATTTTGGTTTGGTAAGTAAATGATGAACACAGTTTGAATGTAAGAATGTTGGTGAGAAGAATATTTCTTCTCAAAAAAAAAACTAAGGATCAAAAAAGACTGAGAGACATTGCTCTGTGTAATATTTCGAACAATTAAAGACTTGAAACGAATGGAAAGAAATTTTTGTAAATGAAGGGATGAAAAAAGGAAAGGCAAAAAATTGAACAGCATTATTAGTTAGCTGCTTATTGAGATTTGAAAAACATTGACCGGAAGATGGTAGAGTTATACTGAGTATAATTTTCCACTGATTTTCCAACTTGCCGCTTTCTGTGATTAAATTTCCACAAAAAAGTCTTCATACACTCGGTAACTTTAATATCATGAGCATTGACACTCCATTGTACCGATGACGTCAGCACTAAGTGAATCTGTCAAGGTATTATGCTTTCGTAACTTTTTAATATTTTTCACATGTTTATACAGGTATACCCTCGTCAATTCTTTCCTCTAAATAAACAAAGAGATCAAAAAAGGTGTTTGTGAAATTTCAGTGGTGGAATGAATTTAAAAGCTACTCTAGAAATGAATTTCTATCTTCTACAGCCTTCAACGGCCTTCGACACCTTCCACTGCTGATAAAAAGAAACTTTGAAAAGAAAATTGCTGGATATGATTTGAAACACTATTATTGCTCTATGTCTAAAGCCAATTCGGCTACGGTACGCGATAAACAAGTTGTAGCAGCTAATAATTCAGAAATCCCTGAACCACATCAAAAGTTATCAGCGTTGGAAAATGAATAACGATATAAAACGAATTTGAAATCATATTTACTCAAGTAAAGAATAGTTAAAAGCAGAATAAACAGAAGAAATAAGATAGTGAAGTCAGATGAAAATCAAGGAGGCAACATTAGCAGACGATTATGAAAAAGGACAGATTGATAAAATCAAGAAGTGCGCAGGATACGGCTGTGCAAGCTGAACTCATCCCCAACCACAGCACTTGATACATGCCACAGGTATGACACGACAAGATGGAAAATAATTCAAACTTCTGTACTGAAAGTGAGAGGAGTGCAAGTTACAAAAGAACATAGACATTTAATTACTACTAACACAGTTTATGAGAAACTATAACATAAGATTGCAAACAAGAAAAACAAAAATACTGAAAGGCAAATTGATCAGATTCATACTCTCACTAAAAAATTACTAAGCCATTCGTTTAGCCGAAACAGGTCGAAAGTTCATGCTTGATAAAGCCTGTCGGATGACCAATCAGATTCATCTCTGACTGCCACAAGTCGTTCGTTACAAAGGGCACTTATTCTTTGCATAAACGGTAATAAGAATAACGAGAATATAAATTCACTTAATGTTATAAGGAGTTTTTGATGGGATAATCTCACAGTGCTTATCTAAAATTAATCAACTTTGAGACGTATGTTTTTCATCCAAGTGTGTTTCATCTGAGCACAAACTTCACACCTCCAAACTTTTGTGTTTTAAGTAATCACTGTCGTCTCTTTTCGCTGACAGAGAATTCTTTTAAAATTTAAAAGACAGTTCGACGACTAACCGAAGTGTACCTGAGTAAATACTGCGGGCTCTTTTGAGAACGACCAAGCATTTACAAAAAAAAAAAAAATGATTTACGTCATTCACTCAGTTAATATCGGCAGCAGCAAGGTTGGGCATCTAAACAGGAGAATAAAGGCAGATACAGGATTATTGGAAAAAAAAAAACTGGCTGGTGTTGCCAAAAGAGAGAGCTTTGTAAACTTGAAAATGGAGCAGCAAAAAAAATCTTTTGTCCTCCGCTTCCATTCTGTCAATTTTTTTGATGATGACATCTGCGCCTATTGATACATATTCCTAATCAAAACTAATTTCCCTGATATTTCACTTACATCTGACCCGTGTGAAACTCAAAAAAGAGAAGAAAACAATTTCAAACGAAAACGTTAAATTTTTGTAACAAAGACGTTCATCTACCCAGTAATGCTTTTTACTGTTGCTTGTCTACAACATAGTCCACAGTAGACCGTAAAAATTTGTAGTTGTCAATCAAAATTTTTTTGAAAACTTGACGAGTTTTGCGGCTAGCCACACAATTGAAGGGACTAAAAAAACTCTGTGATAATGAGTCCTCTTTCAATTTACTTGTCCTTAAAGTGTGGAAATTTCACAGATTTTGCACGGCCACGCTCACTTTGTTATAATGCATCTTTATGGTTCGTAAACGTAGCTTGGTAGCTTTAACTTCCCAGAAACCTTACACTTTGCAGATCTCAAATATTATGTTCTTTTACAGCAGTGTTTAAATAACAAAAAAAAAAAATTTGAAAAAACACTGCGGAAAAATGGTATTTCAACTTGAAAAAATACTGATATTTAAAATAAAAAAACTTACAAAACTTTTCCCATGCTACACTAAATCTAAAATTGCAGTTTATCAGTAAATTCACAGAAAGTGGGGAAAGAGTCTAAAACTGAAACAGGACGGTGCAGCGAAATCATGAAGAAAGAGTGGTAAAAAAAATAAACAAAAAAGAATTAATAAATAAAGGCTGGCAAAAATACAGATTTTTAAGTGAAAACTTTAACCAATAGTATCGTCATGGTTTGTATGATTTTTTGAAAAGTAATGAGTAAGAGGGCTGGAAATACCAATGATATTAGGCTTATAAAGTGCTGAAGCTACTAACTGAGAATATTTAAAGTGAAAAGCACTACTGCAGACACAAATTTCTTTTGCTGTAAAACCCTTTCATTTTCCCGGTCAGAGAGCGAAAAGGAGAAGAAGAAGTTTAATAATCTTTTCTGAGCACATTTGAACATAATTTAACGAGAATCTGTAGCGCCTAGGTAGAGCATACTACCGCCTTGGATTGCCGTTATTCTCAGTTGTTTTACCAGTAAAAACGTCGTATAGTGCAAATAACAAGAAAGCTTTGAAAAATTATATTTAGCTATAGCGAACTTATGTGCCAAATTATGAACCCGAAATAGTCATGGATGTAAGCTTTAGGAGCTTGAGGGAATCTACAATAGTGAACTCAATTAACGATGAGAGTACCAAAACAAAAAAGCAAAAGTATGAGACTGAATACTTGGAAGGTACACAACAAAAAAAATTTGTTTTTTTTTTTTTATTGCACTAAAAAGTTGTAAATGTAACACGTACTACTCTTTGTCATCATCTACAAACTTAAATCACCTTCTGATAAAGGTGATTTGAGTTTGTAGATGATGACAAAATGGCTAGTTCAAAATTAAAAGACCTTTTTGTTGCTTCTGTGTTGTTGGCAACATATCTTTCAGCAAAGGCGCTCACAAAAGACAGTAAATTAGTCTATTTTACCTATATTTTTATTGAATTTCATTCTTTATATTGTTAGCATAGTAAAGAGAACTTTTGTAAAACTTTCAAAGCTAACCAACGATATCTTTTAGTTACTGTTTTTTAATGTGCAGACAGTAGCCAACGAAATTCGGCATATCTTTAGATGCTGCTACTCCATAAGAAATCCTATCAAAATCACCTATTTTCGGTGTTTCATACAATAACCACATTAAAACTTAAGGTCGCTACAGAAACTAGAGCAATTCTGTTTATTACAGAGTTTAGTCTTTATTAATGCCAAATATTCATTTCAGTCAAACCTTGGTCCTTTGCAGTTCTTCACTAGACTGCGATAAAATTCACATACAAAATGGGTTGTCTTCTAAGTTGATTCTCCTGTTGCAAAGAGTGCAAGTGAAACTGGTGTATTAGATTCAGTCGTACTAAACAACTGTTTAAATTTTAAACGAAAATTTTAATGAGCACAAGAGCTCAGATTACAAAACCAAATAATTGAAAGAACTTCTCTGCACAAAAAGTATTGTTTGTTCTTTGAATGCATTCAAAACTGTTCCGTTTCTATCAAATAAAGCTAAAATAAATACAAAACATCTTGTACATTTTTCATATCTTTACTTTTGAAAACTGTCTCTGTAGAGGTAAACAAATTTTTGGAGTGTCATAGTTGTTTTCTTTTTTCGTTGTGTTTTAATTGATTGCTCATTATATTAGTACATAAGTTAACCGCTTTAACATTCAGTGTTACTGGCATATAATACATATCGTCTACTGAGTTTTCACGGCATCACGTGACATCGCATCACTGGTTTACTGTTAATTTAAGATTCGAGTTGACTATAATAACTAGCGGCACTACCAAAATAATTCCAACAAGAACTGCGAAAACTCCGAACATTAAAAAAAAACCACTTTGCCTCATCTTTTCTTTCCATCTTTTTCTTCTCATTCGCTCAGTTTTAAGAATATCGTTTTCCTATAAGAAATAGAGTAAGGCCGATTTTCCAGTAAAAAAAAAAAAAAAAAATTGAAAGTAAAAGTAGGAAAAACTTAAGTCTGCAAGAATAAAACATTAAACTGCAACCTTGAAGCACAAATACGACTCATTCAGTGAAAATTATTGCTTGTCAGATCAAGCGTATAAATTTTTTCACAATTGATCGGCTATTAGTTTTAATGGTAATACATAAATTGTGGCACAAAAAAAGTTGTTATATCCGCGCAAAAAAGGAATGCTTTTAATTGTCAGAGTCAATTATTTTCTCAAAATGTTTTCTTTTTAAATCACTTCAAATTTGAAAACTGATCAATTGCCAACTTCAAAAAGCACATTTTTACAAAGTATATCTTATACTATTGTATGAGAAACTTCTTGAAGCTCATAATGTTTAATGCTTAGCAGTACAGAAATAAAATTTTAAGATTTTGACAAAGCAAGCTTAAGAAAACGTTGTAAAGAAGGAAGAGTTTCTATATTTGCTTCAAGTTTTTCTTATTCAATTGCTTACCTTGTCTTTTATTTGATTTAATACATCTGCATATGCGGCGTTTTGAAAATTTGTGTATAGCTGGCCTTCTGAAAAACAGCAGTTGTTTGAAGGCAATACAGAAGAACGAACAAGTGCTGAATGAATAGCTGCGACAACTTGAAACAGACACAGACTTTCTTTATTCTGATGGAACTGTTATTGCACGGTTCGGGAATACCTAGCAAGTTCGCTGCATGAGACTCGACTACTGCATTTCAGTTACTACAGTCATTCAAAGTTAAAAATTTTAAAACTCACTTTCATATTTGCAGACTGCAGCAGCTTTAAAAAAAGGTGGAGCGTGACGCCAACCTTCCGGTGCATTATATGCAGCAGATATTTGCTCATCTGAACAGCACTTGTCCAATTCACCAGGTTTCCAGTTTACAAAGTCTGGGCTCTCAGCGATAGGCAATATCCATTTGTCGGTGTTAAATACAAGGGAAAGCCAAAACGGTTTTAAATCAGTAAATTCTTAAAAGATAAAACAATTCGAGTGGTTAAGATGTTCTGCCCTTTCAAAGCGA